CCGAGAGGCAGGTTGCAGGAAGACATGATGTGACTCTGTGGTCACTAACAGAGCCCGTGACAGAGGGAAATGCTCAACACGTCACCTGTTCTCACCCAGGCATTGTGTTTTCTGCCTCTTTAGTAGTGTTGGGCAACAGAAGCTACAGAACAGAATCACCGCAAGAACTTGAAAAAGTCCTACAGAGTGAGGGACCCAACTCCGGGGATTCTGATTTATTTGTCGGTAAATTAGATATGTTATTGATGTGATCATGATTTTTAACTGCCTCCACCATCAAGAACAAGGGCAGGATAACGGGACTGGATGGGCCCTTCGACGAGGACGTATCCTGTCACTTTTTCTATTGCTGCATAACAAATTATCACAAAAATATCCATTTATGAGCTCATCTTCTGCCCCTCAGCCATCTGGCAGGGTACACTCGGGTTCACTGCTCAAGGTTTACAAGCCCTAAGTCAGGCTGTCATCTGGATTAGAGGATTATCAGTAGTCTCTGGGGAAGAGCTCTCTTTCAGGCTTGTTCGGGTTTCAGATTCTTGGCTGACTCCAGGTTTGTTTCGTGTGTGTGTGTGTGTGTGTGTGTGTGTGTGTGTGTGTGTGTGTGATACTGAGTATTGAACTGGGGGCCTTTGCACTGGGCCATATCCCCAACCATTTAATAAAATTTTTAACTTAGACAAGACCTCAGTAAGTGGTCCAGTTCCCCAGACTGAATTCTAATTTGCAATCTTCCTGCCTCAGCCTCTCAGGGTGCTGGGATCATAGGTGTGCAAGTTTTTTACAGCTATAAGACCAAGGTTCCTGTGACCTTACTGGCTGTCAGCCAGGGTCATCTCCATCTCTACCTGTATGAGCCCTTTCATCTTCAAAGAAGTAAAGAGTATTGAGTTCCTCTCATGCCTAAAATCTTTTGGCGTTCCACTTTCCCTTCCCTTTTCTGCTGCCAGCTGGAGAAGGTTCTCTGATTTTTAAGGGCTCACATGATTAGTTTAGACCCATGCAGATTAGGTTCTTTTAGGATCAGTGGTGCTTTATGACATTATGCCTACAAAAGGTTTATACTTTGAGATCTCAGGGGCTATGTCTAGAAATTCAGGCTGCCATATATCCCAAGCACCAAGATGAGTACCTGGCATACAGTAAGCCATCAAAATGTCCTTGTGAAATGAAATCAAATGGAACTACCACTCTTTTACAGCAAAGAAAAATAAAGAGAAAGCACAGAAAATGAGTGACTGATAAATGCATCATTTATCCTATTTAAGGAAGCTAAGCATTTATTACTTTTAAAACATTATTGGAATGCAATATACATAAATTTTCACACACCGTGAATACAGTATCCATCTCAAGCTATGTTCACAGGGTCCACAGGTGTAAACAGCACGGTCCTCAAGAACAAGATTCAGATGACCTCATGGGGGGTTCCTACCAGGTGCTAACTCTTCCGTGTGGCTTTCATCCCACGGTGAGTGTTAATACTTAATCCCATAAGTTAGTATGTAAATGGAATCGCTGTACTCCATCCTCTTTTGTGCCTGGCATTTTTTGTTCAACATACTGCTGTGTGTTCTAGCAGGCAGCCTCTAAGAGGACCTTAATGACCTCTGTCTTTGTTATTCATGGTCTCCTCTAATCCCCTCTTCTTGAATAACTTGCTTCCAACTAATAGGATATGGGGGGGTGGCATTTCCATGGGTAGAGGGCAAAGGTATGACTTCCCTCTTGGCAGCAGATATTTGGACTGCCTTTTTGCCTTGAGTACTTGGATGAAGCAGGCTGCCATGTTGGGAAGCTACCGAGGTGGAGTACTGAGGGTAGCCTTGACCAAAGAGTCACCAAGGAGCTGATGTTCTTAATCTCACAGCCTGAAAGGAACTGAGTTCCACCAGACGCCATGCAAGTTTGAAAGCAGATCCTTCCCCATTCCAGCCTTCAGATGGCTTGATGGTATCCATGCTGAAATTACGGATCCACAGAGACTGAGATAACAAATGGATATTGTTTCAGCCACTAAATTTTGGTGTAATCTGTTACCAACAAGAGCTAACTAATGCACTCAAAGGTCATCTATATTTTTGAAACAGTTTTAATTCATCCATTCTCGTTACAAGAGCAGGGCTGGCAAACATTTATTTTTATTTTTATTTTTCTGAAAAGAGCTAAGCAGGAAACATTTTAGGTTTAGTAGACCAGGAAACAAAACTGAGGGTATTATATAAGTACTTTTGTATAATTTCCAGGTATTCCAAAATGTTACACTTACGCCCTAGCCCTTTAGAAATGTAAAAATCATCCTTAGCAGATGAACTATACATAAGTAAATGGTGAGTCATATTTGCCCCACTGACCGTAGTGGTCATAGCTCACTGGCCCCTGCTAAATCCAATTGTTTAATTAAGCCACAGTTCATTTATCCAATCTGCCATTCCTGTGTGTTTGTGTGGTTTCCCATTTGAGGGCTATTGGAAACAATGTAGCCAAGACTATCCCCTTGTTATTTGTTATACTAGGGTGGAATTACTAGGTTCCAGGATAAGTGAATATTCAGCTTAATATATCAAATGGTTTTCTAAAGTGATTGTGTCTACTTACATACCACCAGCAATATACGTCTTTGCTTCTTCACAGTCTTGCCAAGAGTTAGTACTTTATGTCTTTTTCTTTTTGGCTAATCTGGTAAAAACTACATATATTTTTTTATGGCAACCCAGATGGTTCAAATTTCAAGCAGGAAGGAAAACCTCTGTTTAATGGCTGCTTATCTTTTATTAGGTTGAACCATATGAAGTTACTCTATTTATTGGTTTGAAAAATGGTCAAACATAGGCTATTTTACATGGTTTAAACTAAATATTTCCTCCATATCTTATTTATATTTATAATAAAAATGAAATTTAATTGGCATGCTCATCTATTGGGGAAGATATTAAAATTTGAGCATAAAATTAAGTTTCCCACTAACAGTAGATTTCAATGACTTGTGCATTTTAATATTGTCCAGATCTCTTTGTTTTGTTTTGTTTTGTTTTTTTCTGGTACCGGGAACCGAATTCACGACCTTGTGTTTGCCAGGCAGGCGCTGTGCCGCTGAGCTAAATCCCCAGCCCCAATATTGTCCAGATCTTTAAACTGAAAATATACCAACAGTTTAAAGATTTGCCGAAGATTAAAATATCCGTGCATGAATCTGGGTGTGGCAGTGCATGCCACTAATCCAAGCGGTCTGGGAGGCTAAGGCAGTTGGATTGTAAATTTGAGGCAAGCCTGGGCAACTCAGGGAGACTTTGCCACAAACTAAAAAATAAAAAGGATCTGGGGATGTAACTCATTGCAAAGGTCCCGGGTTCAACCCTCAGCACCAAAGTAAATCAGTCGATAAACACTACTACAGAAATCCCCAGAAATTCTGATTCTGTGAGACTAAGGTGGGACTTAAGGGATATATGTTTTTACAGCCAGGGTTGGGAACCACTGACATTGCCTGCCTGATGGTTCTCTTTTCCATTTGTCATTCTAAAGGAAGTGAAGCACTTGAGTTTAGTTCTCTATAGGTTTCAGGATGCCTGACTACATAGTAGGTTAGAAAACTATTTTCCCATGAAAATTATGTCTCACGGCACAGGTTTGTCTCTGCTACACTTAGGTTTGAAACTTCAGGTTTAATTTGAACACAGTTCCATGGACTCAGAGTTAATGTATCACCAAGGGTATTTAATGTTTACATGCAGGTAGTTTAAAGTGTGCCTATACACAGTTGTAGTACCCAACAGGAGGACGAAGTACCTACTTAGTGACTAGTAAAAAACCGATATGCACGTACACACTCAGAAACAAAACTGTTTTGAAAAACTTTTTTTCCCAATGACCAGGACAAAGTTTGTTCACATACTCATAGAAAGAATCAGATATTTGTACTTCCTTATTGTGCAGAATTTTTTTTTCTAAATAAAGCTGTAGAGGAGGATGGGCGGGAAAGTTGGGGGCTGCGTGGGTGTGGCGGCAGATGCATTTCTGACCTCAAACCCTTTCAAAGTCTAAATCAGTCTGGAGCTCTATTTGTTCCCAAGACCATTCCAGTACTCCTGCCAGTCAGGAGCAAAGTGTGGGAGTTTAATTTTTATCAGTGTGTACTTGTCTATTGCCATCCACGCGGTTCCCTTATCCTTTCTGTTTACAGTGTCAGCAGCACCTGAGTGCAGGGCATGGTTCAGAAAATGAAAGAAAGAATCCTGGTTCTCAGGCACAGTTCTTTATCAGGCCTGTCACAGGCCAGGCAGGCTGCAAGCCGCCTCCTTTGGGAGCCAGATATTTTCCACGGTGTGACGTCCTCCCGTGGAAGCCTGGTTCCTAGATTTTACTCCTGGCGGACGTTGCCTATTGCGGATTTTGAGGCCAATCCCTGTTCACCCACCCCTATCAGGCTTTCGCCATCAGAGGCACCGCGGAGGATCAGAAGACCGAGGTGTCACCTGGCGGGATTCTCTCCAAACCCCACACGTCTCAGGGTGCCGGGGAACAAGTCTAAACCGCACTCTGAACCGGCCCAGACAGAGGACCACAGACAACGGGAATGCCTGGATGGTTGGTCCAGGGCCCAGCCTGGAGTGTGCATCGAAAACCCCGCTGCCCGCAGCCTCTGGCCGCACGCGGCCAGGTGCCTGGCAGATTCAGATTGACAGCGAAGGTCTCAATAGCGGGCCCCGCCTCTTAGCGCCCAAGGAGACCGCGCGCGGCATCCTGGGAGATGTAGTTCTCGCCACAAGCCGGGGTGCCCGGGATTCCCCCAGCCCCCACTCCAGATGTCCACGAGGGATTGCTTGGTGTGGGCCTGATGAAATTCCCAGCTGCTACCCGAGTGTGGTGGCTGGGTATAGGGGAACCCGGGCTTTTCCAGGGGGCGCGCCGCGGAGAGGACTACACTTCCCAGACTGCCCCGCGCGGAGGGGGACTACATTCCCCAGGCTGCTCCGCGCCGAGCCGGAGCCGCTGCTCGCCTCGCGTGACCGCGGCAGGTTGGTCCCGGAGCCGAGGAGCGCAGTATATTTAGGCGCGGGCGCGAGGAGGGGGGGGCGCGCCGGCCGGAGGAGTTCCTCGGCCAGGACAAGTATGCATGCGTTAGGGCACCTCTGACAGAATGGCCGTGGAAGGTAAGGGACGCTCGGGGCACGTGACGCGCCCTCTCCCCTGCGCCCCCGTGCACACATCCCCGCCCGAGCCCGGGACGCGGGCGGAGAGCGAGGAGAGCAGAGGGGGCGGCGGGGCCGGGGCCCTCCGGCCGCACGCGGGCC